TTGATATCGTGCAAATGGGGTTGTCATATTTTCCCTTGGGCAGTGATGGCGCATGCCTATTATCCAGCACTGGAGGTTAAAGTTGGTGGATCATACAAATGTTGTGAAACTCTCTTTCTGTGGGAGTCGAGATGCCATAGCCCTGTCTCCCCAGAATTCAGTATAGAATAAGTATAACCCGTTAAAACAAAGTTTTTCACTATAAATCCTTTATATGCGTGGCGGCTAGAGTCCTCTCGTCCTCTGGCTTGAGATGGCTGCCACCTATGGGTCAGATGATTGTCTGCAGTATTAAACAATTGGTAATTAAATATTTAATTTGTTTTTCCTAAAAAGTGTAAAATTTTGGAAAAAAATTTCACGAACATTAATTGTCTCGCACAACGAGTCTGTGTACAAAATGTCAGCTCGATTGGATCACGGGAAGTGGGTTAAAAAACGACCGAAACGTTTGCACGGTCGTAAGCAAGCAAGCAAGCACGCAAGCACGCAAGCAAGCAAGCACACAAGCAAGCGAACTTAATATAAAGAATTAAAAAAATGTGGACTCCGCCTGTTCCATCTCGCACATGTAGCTTTTTCTCCGGGTGCTCCGGTTTCCTCCCACATTATGAACACTCGTTAATTGGCAGATAACGTCTGAATATACGGACGACTGCAGAGCTTGGCCATTCATTGGCGTCGGCTCACTGCATGGCTCTTCCTCACGCCTCCGAGACATCCTTTCCAACGTCGAGTGCATGAATACTATGCATGTTACAAGTTGATTATATTACTCATGATTCTGAAGAACAAGTAAACCCGTAAAAACAAAGTTTTTCACTATAAATCCTTTATATGCGTGGCGGCGAACTTAATATAAAGGATTTAAAAATATATTCGCCTGTGGAGGACGCGGGGATCGATCCCGCGACCTTTGGCATGGGAAGCGAGGGCGCTACCAACTGCGCTACTCCGCCACGGCCTGTGGAGGGGTTACGCTCTGGGCTCTTACACTCTGACGTTCAGCCAAAGCCATGAATGCGTTCTATTTGAATATATGTAAAATAAAAAAATTTGCCTAAAAAGTGTAAAATTTTGGGATTTTTTTTTTCACGAACAATAATTGTCTGACACAACGAGTCTGTGTGGAAAATGTCAGCTCGATTGGATCACGGGAAGTGGGTTAAAAAACGACCGAAAGATTTGCACGGTCCTAAGCAAGCAAGCACGCGAACTTAATTATAAGGATTTAAAAATAGATGATGTTCAAGACTCTTGACTTGTGTAGGTGATATGGTAGAAATAAGCACTCAGACCAGACCTCCGCAGAAGCCCTGGCTGACGATGTATTTTAGCTAGCAGAGACAAAGTGCCAGACTTATTATCAACATACAACATTTCCAATACATGAGAATACTTACTGATCCTCTTGCTCGTGATCATGGTAATAAGCCTGGATATATGTGTGGCCAGGAGTCAAAAGCCTTTCGCTTTGGGGTATGGCAGGGTATTCTTTTCTGGCTCTTACACTCTTTAACATCTTATTTGACCTTGTGGTCCATTTTGCAAAAGTGTGTCTCCTTACCTGACTCCCCTGATGCCATGTATGTTATTACCTTCTGCATAGTATGTATGTGATTAACGGTGTAGATATATGTCCTAAGCCTGGCTAACTTACATGGTTGGTCTGTTTCTTATTCGGTACCTAATGGTCTTTGTGAATAATCAGTGTATGTACAATACGAGGTGAACGAGTCTGTAATTTCTCAAGTATTTTTTTCTCCGATTTAAATAATTGTTGAGGCATCATTTCGTATATGTATGTTGAACTTTGTTCGCACTGTACGTAAAGCCAACAGTGCTAATCGCAGGTGCGTGGTATTTCATTTGTGCGTAAACATTGAATACAACATCAGTCAAAATGTAGTTTCAACCATGAGTCCTGCTTTTTTGATGTTGCCCAAAGTTGTTCCACCTGGTCCAGCAGCATACTGTGAAATCAGTATTTACTTTTTCAAGTGTGACATCTGAAACGTCCTTCTCTTCACCTAAAAAAAAGGACATTACAAATTATCATGAAAATGTTATTGACTCAACACATAAAACATTTTGGACAATACAGTAACAATCTCAGGATGCTGTAGAGGTGGTCATGACCATTGGAAATGAATGACAACAGAATGATTCAAGGACTTAAGAAAGACTGCAAAGTTAGGCTCAAGATAAATACGAGTGATGAAATGTAATGTAGAACATGTTTGCTAAAAAAAAGATATAGTGGCTAGGAGGGTTACAACTGAAAAACAATGTTTATAGGGCTGCCAGCTTTTCATTGTAGACCAAACCTGGGTATACTTCTCAGCTAGCTGAGGTCTATCAAAACGATGCAGTGGACTGAACTTCAAGTTCAACACAATACCACCAGATCTCTTCACATACCAATTCCTGCCAGCTCAACACAGATGCCAATTTATGACCTCGACAATCCAGTCCAAGTCAAAACCAGGCAGGTGGCAACCCTATGTGGATATTATTGAAGATATAAATGGATACAATTTATGAAGCAACATACCAATGTGCGTAATAAATCAGGATTTGAATCGGTGAATCTTACCTCTTACAACATTGATCGGAAACACGGACACCGACAGATAAAATGGGAAATTTTACGCGAGTATGGAAATAATCATGGAGAAACGCATGCTTAGAATTAAACTAAGAGATAAAAAGAGGCACAACACATGCATCGAAGAACAAATGAAAACTCGGGATATCACTAAGGCCACCACCTCTTAGGTACAAAAAAAGCAAGACACGTAATGTAAAACATATCTCATAATGCCAGAAGAAGTGGCAACTATTTGTAAAAGCATTCTAGATTTGAAGTTTTCGTGACTGCAAGGATCCATACTCTTTCGTTCTTTCGGTAAAGTCACGTAGGTAGAAAAATAAATAAAATAATACAAATAATAAAATGAAAATAACTAAATTGTGATTTAATTGAGTTATTTTAAAGTGAACATAACTAAATTGTGATTTAATTTAGTTATTTTCATTTTATTATTTTTATTATTATTTTTATTTTTCATCTACGTATCTTTACTGTAAAAGCATTGTTTCGAGTGGTGTATTATTATTAGGCAATTGACAACAAAATGGCACTTTTCACATCTAATGTCCCAGGAAGGCTTACAGATTTCCCGGGACAGTTACCTCAAATAAAGATGAAGCAAACTAGATTTGAAGCTTTCGTGACTGCAGGAATAACTCTTTGGTTCCTTCGGTAAAGTTACGCGACTTTACCGCAAGAACCAAAGAGTAAAGAGGAAGTACCTCAAAAAGAACAGGACAGGCGGTAAAATCCTGACATCTGTTAAGGAAGGCGGGGGGCTTGGGGCACGGCACATTGCTGAAAGGGAACGACGGTGGGCAATAATGAGGAGATTGGCGGCCAAAGGAGAGAACGCATCCAAGAGGGCGGAGATGGATGAACGTGTATTTGGTGATGGCTTGGGACGGAGACGGCCTTCATCCAGCATCGGATAAATCACGGATGATGTCTTCCGTACACACCAAATACACGTACATTCTGTACACGGGGCCATGCCAACATCATACACGATACCAACAACCCCCATTCGCCACTAAGTGGTGAAGTCAACACGGCCAATGTGCCAGGCTAGGTGCACTTTGAGGCCACGTGAAGTGTCGAAAGGCTCGCTGCTGGAAAGGTCACGGGACAGACCCAGGTGCCGTGGGTTAACCGACAGAGACGACTGGCAGATGCTCCAATTGTGCATACACACATCCATGTCTGCTCACGTACAAACAGAGAGAAATTGACACGCGCTGAGTGACACATGCACACCGTAACCACAAACCCAATGACACATCAACTATACAGTAGTCACGTAAGAGTATGTATTTAACCACATAAACACCCACACCCACACTCATTTCAATCACACACAGGCTCACATGCACATGCATGCCCACTGACACTTGCAATACACAATATTGTGAGTATCACCCACACACACAAAACTTTACACATGTGCCCCACTGGCTCATATCCTGCAGTGTAGCCTGAATACAGAGGCACAAACACCATTCCCAAACACACACACACCGTATACCCTGTCACATGCACTGCACAGTGTGATGATCTCTATATATAAGGCTCACATACACACACAGGCACGCATCCTTGTAAACAAACACACACGCGTAGATTCTAAACATAGACTCACATACGCAGCAGACACACAGAGTACCCACTGACACACACACACGCACATACACACACTCACTATAAAGACAAAACAAAGATCCCAGTATAGCCTGAACAGACTGTTGGGGCAAGTGCTGTCAGCGAGAAGCAAACCTCGGAAGGCCGGCACGGCGCACGAGGGAGGGGGGGGGGGGGGTTAGCACCACGCCCGGCCGCCTTTGTATCCCCAGACAGACACACACACCCTTGCGCGCACACACACACAGTCAGACACATACAGACACAGTCAGACACAGACACAGCCAGACACACACACCCACACAGCCAGACACACACACACAGTCAGACACACACACACACAGTCAGACACACACAGCCAGACACACACACACAGCCAGACACACACAGCCAGACACACACACACACACAGCCAGACACACACAGCCAGACACACACACACAGCCAGACACATACAGCCAGACACACACACACAGCCAGACACACACAGCCAGACACACACAGCCAGACACAGCCAGACACACACACAGCCAGACACACACACACACAGCCAGACACACACAGCCAGAGACTCACACACACAGCCAGACACACACAGCCAGACACACACACACAGTCAGACCCACACACAGACACACACAGCCAAAGACACACACACAGCCAGACACACACACCCTTGCGCACTCACACACACACAGCCAGACACACACACACAGCCAGACACACACAGACACACACACACACAGTCAGACACACACAGACACACACACAGTCAGACACACACACAGACACACACACAGCCAGACACACACAGTCAGACACACACACCCTTGCTCACACACAGTCAGACACACACAGCCAGACACACACACACACACAGACACACACACACAGACACACACACACACGACACACCCACCCCGCACTGCGCACAGCCGCGCTGTCGCTTCTGGGCTGTCACTGCCGTCACGACGACGATGCGAGCCGCGTTCTCCCCTCTGGCCACGCTATCGTTCCCTCTGACCACGCTATCGTTCCCTCTGGCCATGCTGTTCTCCCCTCTGTCCTTGCTGTTCCCCCCTCTGTCCATGCTGTTATCCCCTCTGTCCTTGCCGGCTGTCGGGGGCACGCCTGCCGGACCATCTCCCTGCGTGTCCCCGCTGCAGTTTGACGGCCGCGCCGTCGCCTACGACCCCGTCTCGTCCCGCAGTCGCCGCCTGCGTCTGTGCTACGACGGCAAGGGCCGGCGGGTCATGGTCCACGAGGAGCGCAAGGGGCACTTCCCCTGCAAGCGGTGAGACATCAGCAGCAGCAGCATCATCAGCAGCAGCGGCGGTGGCGGCATCCGCACGAGCGCTCCGACACGCGCGCACGCATCGTGAGCTGCGTAATCGTCGGCGTCGTGATGATCATCATCAGCAGCGCGAAGACAAAGACCCCCCCCCCACCCCACCGTGGAGCTTGCCACACACCGGGACACGAAGACAAAGATCCCCCCGTGTAGCCTGCCACACACCGGCGGGGCAAGTGCTGTTAGCGGGCATCAAATTGAGACAGGACGCACACGCACGAACGCGTTCTGTTTGATGAACGTTGCGTTTTCTTTTACGCATTCATTTGTTGAGCCGTGCTTATTATGACCGTATCCCGCATGCAGTCGTGTTATGTTGGTGACAGCTGTCTGAATGTTGTTGTAAGCATGCACTATGCATATGGATACGTGTCTCTTTGTATATATATGTGTGATATGTATCTTGTGTAGGCATACGCGTGTACGTGTGTTGTCTCTGTGTACTGCTGTGGCACATGTGTATATGGTAAGGCTATGGGTGGGTCTGTACTGTATGCGTCCATAAATGACGTCACGTGATTTTAGACGATTTTTGACCCCCCCCCCCTCGTCACACGGCGTCACAAAAAGTCAGACCCCCCCCTCAAATATGACGTCACAAAGCTCTGCCCCCCCCCCCAATAAAACATACTTCAAATTGCTTTAAACCAAGGCCATAGCCATGGAGTCAACATTGGGGGGGGACTAAATCTACCAGGGTGTCTGGGGTCCCAACCCAGAAAAATATCTAAATTTGAAAACGAATTTCCTACCTAAATTATTAAAAAAAATTACTAACACATGGGATGGACTTTTTATTTATTTTTTACAATACTGTCTAATAGTGTATTGTATTACTTTGCTCTGTTTTCACTTGTTTACCATTTCTTGTTTCATTGTATGTAATGGCAGAGATTAGGGATTAATAAAGTACAACCATAACCACAATCATATAAACAGAAATCTATGCATTGATTTATATGAAGACAAGTCCAGATATTGTGGCCAAGGTTCAGCAAAAAAATTTTTATTTACATAGCATAGCAATTATTATTTTATAGAAATATATTCGGGGGGACATTTTGAGCATATTTGAATAATAATTATAATTACTGCCTTGCTTTAAACTATTGTCATTATAGTGCGTATTTAATGTGCCGCTGCACTCTGATGTTGTAGGATATTTTTTTTAAGTCTATTTAATTAAATAGAACGTGTTGTCTATATTTATTTAAAGTTGCGCATTTTTATGTGACGTCATATTTCTCACCCCCCCCCCTCGTCACACATCGTCACAAATGTCTGACCCCCCCCTAGCTGCGTGACGTCATTTATGGACGGCCCCATATGACAGTGCGTCTGTGTATGGGAATGTCATTGTGTGAGTATGTGTGTATGTGCTGAAACTTGTGGCTACATTGTCAATGTGTATAATTTAATTGAGCGAAATCACTACATTTTTGGCGCAAGTATGTAAATAAGTGATTGGATATTCTCATACCATAGTTACAAATAAGCGCATTTATTTTGGACTGCTAGCTTTTCATATATGGATTTATTTATATGGAAATCTGGTGAGTGTACAATTAGTTTGGCTTCTAGAGCTTAAATGCACCTTGTTTTCTGTTTAATTTTTTACTTTTCTACAAACCTTCACTGAATTGTCCATTACAATACAAATTCTTTATTTATATTACTGGCATCCAGTCAATACATTTTCTGTTGCTGTTATGTCTTTGGCAATACTGAAGTTTAACTAGAATACCCATTCCTGGTCACTTCCTGTATTGGATATGTTGAAGCCAGACATCCCTGGCATTCTGGCATTTGTTCATGAGGATCGAAGCAATTCCATTTATAATGATAATAGGTTTGTCCCCTTTGTTCTGGCAACAAAACAGGTGTTAAGATGTTAAAACACCAAACTGAAACCTTTTACAAGGAATCGTGTCTGCATTAACCACAATGCTTGTGGTCAGAATGCAAACAAAAAACACCCTGATAATATATGCATTGTCTTTGAAACTGATTGGTCCACACCAGAGACAGCTTTCTGTTGAGCCTCGTCTCTAACGGTGTTAGACCAGAGGACGCCAAAAGGCGTTCAGCACAAAGACAATGCACTATCAGGGTAATGAGAGCTCGAGGTGAGCATCTACATCATGGGACTTCCTTTGCCAGTACCAAAATATGATAATAGGTTTTTCCCCTTTTTTTTCATGTATAATGTATCTACATGGGCTCCTTCATGTTACTGTGAACTCCTTAGCCTTTCTTCTATATCATTCCTGTCTCGTAACAAATGTATCAATCATCCTATCATTCTGGCTTACCTCTGCATTTTTTTTACCAACAGTGCACGTTCACCACAACATTGATACAAAAAGTTGACAATGACAAAGGAAATGAAAAAAAATCTGAAACATTTACCAAGAAGCATGGAGAGATTATTATTTGGAAAAAAGCAGTGAGAGATAGAATAGTAACACGTGCATCAGGGCACACACAGAACAGAGACATTTAAAGTGAGAGGGCTTCGAAAGAACACATCTCTAGAAGGGATGATGACCGATAGACAAGAATGGTGATGGAATTGCATCCAAAGTATAGAACATTCACAGAGATGGAATGATGAGAACTACCCATTGATTGTAACATCCCAGAACCATTAAGGATTGTGATGATGTGAGTACCCCTTCATCCAGCAGTGGATAAATAATAGTTGATGTCAGATTTTAATGAATACCACCCCGAAAAGTTTCCAAATGTTTATAAACCATGTTGGCTTGTACAAAATTCCCCAAATTTACTAACCTTTATAACCCAACAACTACTCCCCCTTCCCAAAGCTAGCTAATGCATTGTTCTAAATATTACTGGTAGGAACCTCCTGGTTACACCAGCCCACAGGAGATGATTGTGTCCATCCGTCGTGCAGGGAGGGGCTGGGTGGGGAGGGAGGGGCTGGGTGGGGAGGGGAGGGTGGGGAGGGGCTGGTGGGGAGGGGAGGGTGGGGAGGAGAGGGGCTGGGTGGGGAGGGAGGGGCTGGGTGGGGAGGGGAGGGTGGGGAGGGGCTGGGTGGGGAGGGGAGGGTGGGGAGGAGAGGGGCTGGGTGGGGAGGGGCTGGGTGGGGAGGGTGGGGAGGGGCTGGGTGGGGAGGGTGGGGCTGGGTGGGGGTGGGAGGGGTGGGGCTGGGTGGGGAGGGGCTGGTCACTCCGTGGTGCCCTTATAAAACTCAACGTTTAACCTACTCACGCCGGCTTGTGCCCACCCTCACAGTCGGGCATATTTGTTGAATACACCACGCCGCCGTTGACCCTGGCCATTGACCGAGCAACCCAGTGTTCCTACCAGCTCCCTCTGCAGGAATGTGTTCTGTGTTCCTGACAACTGCTACATAATAGTGCGGTGGTTGTAGTTCGGAGCTATACATTTCATGCAGGAATATAACAATTCTTCAATTAAAGTCCGTCTTGATGCTCACAATGCATACATTAGGTTGTGCTTATAAAATTATATATGATTCTTTTGTATGAATTGAATGAAAAAGAATGTGACAATACCAATGGGACAGACGTAACAAATGACTAAAGTGGAACATTGAGAGTACTAATTAGTACAAATTGGACACTGCAAATGAGAGAGTGTAAATAAGAGAGTTCAAACTACGGTAGACTGCTCAAAAGATTGTACAAACGAGACTGGTGACATCCTAACTCACGTGACATCCTAACTCACGTGACATCCTAACTCACGTGACATCCTAACTCACGTGACATCCTAACTCACGTGACATCCTAACTCACGTGACATCCTAACTCATGTGACATCCTAACTCATGTGACATCCTAAGTCATGTGACATCTAAATTGACTGTAGCCTGATGCTCTACTTGGAATTTCAGAGACCAGTTTGCCAGCATTTGAAATGTATTTAGTCTTTTAAAGTTGTGAAAATGCAATGCTTTTTGTCAATACACATTTTCATATGGGGGAAAAGAAATGTAATTTTAAAAATCGAATTCAGGATAATACACCTTTTAATGTGATGAAAGAGACGTTTCTAAAATTATTAATTGTGATTGGCTTTAGTTTGTGATTTAATATAAATGTGGCTTCAAGAGTGGCTTAATTCGACTTTAAAAACACGTTTAATGTTTACACGAGGAAGATAATGCAACTGAACTAAATGAAAATTTTGCTGTGGAAAAAAAATCCTGGGCCAAACCATTCTAACTGGACTGGAAATCACATTTTGGGGATGTGACCAGCAGCTAAACCTGATTTGAGAGCAGACTAGCCATGAACCCTGAGACTCAAACACCACACACGAAGCCTGTATGTTTTTTACATTATAAGACTAAAAATACAAACTCAAAACATGCAGCAGAATACGTTTAATAAATAACAATAGGACTACTGAACAGAATGCATTTTACATGCATTTAGTTTTAATATTTCCACAAACTAACAATCTAAGATATTAAAGAACAACCTTATGTTTGTATATTTATACAATGGACATGTAACAGAAAATGAAAATAGAACCATTTAAAGTTAAACATGTAAATGTGACATTGCAGTCTCGGGCAGAGTGAGTGGAGGGAGACCTCGTGACACCTTGGGGCTTGGGAGTCCATGGTTGGTCATCACGGCAGAAATTAGCCCGATCCACAAGGTGGATATGCATGTCGCAGGAGTGTATTCCGATAGGTGCTCACTTCGGGGAGAAGTTGAATTGGATTGACTGTGATGTCACAAATTCGACTGAAATGTCCCCTGTTTACAGACATCTCATACCAGTGGCTTGAAACCTCAGAGTGCTGGAGAATGGCTTTCAGGTCATTTTGTTGGCTCACATTATTTTATTATTTTAAAGTAACATTGCCATGAGAGTTTCTAGGTTTTCCCAGTTGCATTTCATGAGTCAATCACACACTCTACCTAAAATAGTACTTTAGTATTTTAGGTAGTTTGTATAAAAGCCATTTTATTCAGTAGTCCAGTTCTAATGCGAGGCGTTGCTAGAGCTCTTTCAGGAAGTTATAGCTACCTCACATACATACCAAGTAGGGTACATATATTTAAAGTTCTTGAAACCTTTCTTTAATCCTTCCCAAGTTCTGATTCAAATGATATCCCGCATTCAGAGCCATCCATGAAGTTTGTGCATGTTTGTGACACGTTAAATAAAAGTCCCTTTCAATTTAAAGGCACCTTATACAAATATCTAACAGATGTTGCTTTGAGTTGAATAATTTTGAATTCATATTCAATGTTTTATTGTGTTTTTTTATGGTTAAGTTCCTCTGGAGGAGAAAAAAATATCCATTTGAAGTCTTGGTTTTTTCCATCGTAATTTTCTGCCCGTTTTTTCCACACATATACGACCTCCCGCAGTTGGTAAATGGGGAAAAATTCCTAAAACTTGAAAATATGATGAACAGGATGTTTTAGGATAATAAATCCAACTTATGTCGAGAAAAGATGCCACACCTAAACTGCTACGAGGCTTCCAGAATCCTCCAAGTAAAACACCCACGACGACTCGGGGATATGCATGTCCCATGATAGATGCGGATGCATTTAGACATTCTATAAACCCACATTGTATTGTACTGTGTATTGTAATGGCACGGTAGAAATCAAATTTAGTAAAATTAGGAAGTGTAATGCTTGTTTGTTTCACACTTAACTTCTAATTGACCAATCTTTGGTAGAACGTAATCAACCAGGCTATGCGTTAACTGTGTGCTAACCGACTCTCCGTGTTGCATTGCATTACACTTCCTAATTTTACTAATTATGATATAATTATGTAACAAGCACATTTCTTGTTCATTCTCAATTTGAAAGAGTTAAGTGGACGTTTCTCAGTTATGCAATGTTAAAACTAAGCAAGTAGATTCGTCGTACATGTACCTTGTGTTATAGCTCCACGCGAATATCCATTACATAAATTAATAAATTAACTATATATAAATTTCGATTTGAAGCTTTCGTGACTGCAGGAATTCATCTTCTTGGTTCTTTCGGTAAAGTCACGTAGAAGGGAAATAATAAAAATAAAACATAATAAAATACAATTCTCACGACGTTTCAGCCACAACGCAAGCAGCCGTCCTCAGGTGAAGAACATGTCTGTCGGAAATACAGCGTCTGATCATGTATATATGCGTGGCTAAATAGTATGACTAGATGGAGGTAAGCATGTCAGGTAAAGACAAAGTAAGTAGTACACTGAACATGCAATTTCATCATACAAACTAATGCTGAACGACTTTACTTAAAAATGACCATACATTCATTATAACTATTGATTTTTTTAAACAATTAAAATTACGTTGGTTGACTGCCCAAAACTCAACAAACCATAAGAGTGTAGTCATTTGTTTAAAATAGTGTTTAATTTTAGCTTGAAACAGTTGCATCTTTGTTTGTTGAAAATAAAGCAAGGTGACATGTTTTATCAGTCGGGCTATGTTAGCAATATAATCCATGTCAAACGACGATCACATTAGTTGGCCGGCTATAATTCCTGTCAACCATCACATCTAAATTCCCAACACATCTAAAATGTTGTGATGAACACAATACAGGGACTCCTCTACTTACGAGCGAGTCTGTTCGTAAGTCAATTCGTTCGAATGTCCAAATTGACTCCTGTCGATTCCAAACATGTTGTACGGCATGTGCACTAAACACGGGCAATGGCTATAAAAGTTGTATCATCTGTAGATGCTACTGTTCTGCGGAAATAGATGCCACCACCGCCATCTATTGCACGGCGGTTGAACTCAACGACTCTCGTGCCGAACAGGCAACTGGTCATACGGACAGGTTTGTGCGTATCTCTGAAAGTTCCTAAGTAAAATGTTCGTAAGTAGAGGAGTCATTTTAATGTCCCAAATAACCCTCAACCTTTATACTGTTAGTATTTGGTAGTCTCCTGTCTCCCTTCCCTCGAACAATGAACTAAAGTCCACGCACCGTTTGTTTTGCAGGTATTACGACTACATATACTTGTACGATGAAGGTGTCCAATACCAAATCGACCAATCCAACAAGCGCTGTCTCACAAAGGCTTTGACTGATGCGTGGGACCCGTACGACATCCCAAGCAACTCCACGTTCGAGGATCAGTACCTGATAGGTGGTCCCGGTGACCAGGTCGCAGTGCAGGAGTGGTCTGACCGCAAGCCAGCACGCAAATGTGAGAGTGCCATTGCCACACTCCTGCTCGCCCCTACTCCTGTTTTGGGGTTGCTCTGTAGATAGAAAACCTGTCACGAAACCATATCGGTCCCAATTGTTGGAAAATATTGTATCCAATCGGTGTAGCCATCCCATTATTTCACACCGCCTCTTCACGTTTCTTCTTGTCAACTCCAGGATTTTTTGTTAAGGTTAGAATTCATACTGAGATGTAATAAATAAGCTGTAAACAAAACATTCGTGACATAGCTTTTGGCATTATATTATTAGATTTTCATACATTTGCTTTAGACAGGTTTTTATATGACCAAAATGGCCTTGAATATTTATTACACCGAAATAATGTTCAGTCGTTCTGAAAGCCACTGTTGAAGGCCTCCCCATGCCATGACATCATGGGAGTTCTGACCATACATGACACTGGTCAGTGTAGGTTGGTGGCCTTAAGACCTTAATTTGGTAATAATGTTAAGTAGCGGTTGTGACAATTTTTGTCACTAAAATTTTAATATATATACACTCATGTAATACTTGTAGTAGGTTATTTGCTTACTTCAAACGTGATAGGACCACGAAAAACTGTGTCCACAATGGTGCCTGATGTTTATTGTGTATGGTTGAGAGCTGCACCCTGTTGCAGCATAATTACCTGTAAAATGCTTGATGGGTGCGAGATGCCCTTTCTGGGGGTGCGAGACATACCAGATTCTTTTAGAAGGTAAATAATCGAAAACACAAATTAAGCACTTGCACATAAGTACATCTACTCTGTTTCATCAAACCTATGTACTTATTAACATACATTTTTTTTACGATTGAGAACCAAACGGGTGCAGGCTGCAGTAACGTTTAAGAATCCACTACTCTATTGTGGGCCGAACACCAAGCCCCCGATGTCTTAGGGAGCTGTGTGCGTAGGCCATGAAGGGAGGCTATGGGCCAGGTACCAGCATTAGCAGCAGCTCGTAGCAATTCTGTCCACAATACATTTGTATGTGAAAATATCAATGGCTTCCCACAAAGTGGTACTCAATTATTGACATGGGAGGAATGTTGGAGTCTTGAGTGGACCCCTAATGGGGTTTTATTTTATTTTAAATACGATTGTGATTTCAGCGCTCTGCGACAATGTTACGCAGCCAGATAGCAGACCCACAATCCTTTGCGTTGTTAAACCTGTGTGTGCGGTATGCAGTTGAGACCTGGCTCGGCGTTTACACGACCAAGGACTGCTATCCTGTACATGAGACGTACATTGACAGCGCTGGCGTGGCTTCCATGACGCGGTTTTTCGACATCGAGCCGGGCATAAAGGATCCCAGCGTCTTCACCCCACCAGCATCATGCCACAAGGCCTTGTTCACAGACTGGGAAGAGATGGGTGGCTGCTGAATCGTGTGATGACATCAGTTCTCATTTAATATTCCAAACAGCTGGCCAATGGCTTATGTTACATATATACCACATCGTTTGGTGTTGCTAGTTGTACCAATTTTTGTCTTGTTACAAATAGAACAAATATGGTAGAACTACACAGCAGTAAATGATGTAATGTTACAGAATATTAAGCAAGAAAAGTTAAATGAATAATATGGAAACATCGGTTGTAATTTGCAGCGGCAGCATATCATTTTAGTTGCCAAGCTTTTTGTCATACTTTCTATGCTATAACTTAAAATAAATATTACATTTCTCATAGATGGAAATATTACTTTTTTTTCCAACTAAGTTCATAAGATGTGTTGTTTTTTTCTGATATAGTATGTAAATTGGAATGCTTGAAGTTGAAAGCTTATGAATATCCGCACTAATGTTTGAATTTGCCCTATTAAAACAATGATTTTATTCAAACACCTGGCCTGCACCATTGCTGTGCTGGTCAATTATTGTAACGCCGTTTTTTTTTGCTGAAGTGTGGCTGGAATAAATATACGCTGCCAATAGCCCGTGTGGCATGTGATTTAATCTCCACAAGCTAAACGCTGCAGACAATACAGCCTCTGTGTTTGGGGATTCGAGTTTGGTGGGTCGTGTCCAAGTGGAAATCCACATGAGATCTCCGACACCTGCATCCACGGCAAGCACTGCACTCTGGTTTCGTCGGGGGCTGCCGACTGCACATTCACATTGGATGGGAGCTGGGGGGTGTTGCCGGCGAGGCAAGGGGGTGTACCCTGGACATTTAAATACTGCTTTTGGTCAAACAGGAATGGGAAGCTGGGGAGACCATTTTTTTCCAGATTTCATGTGAAAAGGTTCTCAGTAAAATAGGACATTACATGATTTGGCTTTCCAGTATTTTTTTCTGCACGTGACCAAAATAGTGGATACATCTTTGTACTTGTATTTAATGTAATAAGTCCTAAAATAAACAGTTTAATGCAGGGGCTTTCAAAGAACGGTCACTGAATCCTCTGGGAACTATGGAACAGATATAAATTGGTCTGAGGCCTTTGCAAGTTGAATGTGACACGTGAGAGATGAATGGGCCAGAAGAGCATAGAATATGGTTTTGGTATGAATAGCTCATTTTTTATTCCATTGCAAGTTTCTCATGTGATAATTTGTCAACAGAATGCTTTGTAAGTATAAATCTCAATATTGCGTAGAAACCCATACTCTTTGGTTATTTCGGTAAAGTCACGTAGGTAGAAAAAATAATAGATCACGACGTTTCAATCGTAACAAGCGACCGTCTTCAGGTGAGATTATTATTAAGATAATTACGTAGAAACTAACGGTATTAATCCCTGCTTATAATTAAGTGAAATAATCAGCTCTTAGGAATAACATATCAACGTCCAGAGCATATTCAACGTACTTATAGGACGTGGTTCATGGACATTCTGCCTATGTCGTATATTTAATACTTAAAAGAAGAATAATTTTCTAAACCACATTTTCCTTTGTCAAAAATGCCTTAATGTGCAAAGTTAATGAACCAAACTTCAGATTTTTTTTCTTCATAAATTCCTCTGCTAATATTCATCAACTTGGGAACCTAAGCATTAAAAGCTGCGTCTGCCAAATAGTTGTGTATTTAAATTTGTGAAAGTGTTTCCAATAATAACAGTGTCAGTATGTCACAATCCATTAGGCCACAAATGGTACTGGATTGTAGCCGACTAATTTGTGCTTGAATTAGTTTCTCAGGCCCAGTACAATGGCAGCAGCAATGCAACTCCAAGGAGCCCCTCACCATACGTCTGTTGAACTTCTTTCGCACCGTACATCACCAACCATGCTAATCGGAGGTGCGGGGAAGGACAAAAAACGAAACACAAAAGGCAGCTCTCAAGAAATGAGTTTGCAATCGAGATGTGAAAGTGCATCGCTCCGGTGGCTTCCTTTTATTGGGAGAGCGTTCCAGACGGCCGCAGAGTGCTTCTCTCATACTCGCATCCTGCAGCGGTTGCTGGCATCGGCCGGGCATTGCGTTCACCCCCAGCAAAACCACGTGCAATGCCACCGGCACGCTTACCAACCCCTGGCACGCACTCCGGCTGAGGCTTGCACAGGGCGAACGATACTCCCCTTCAGCCGTTAAATCCAAGTCGTGTTCTCTCCCCATTGCGGCTACTTGACCTCTGTTTATTGTCTTCGAAACAATCATTCGGAGGGCGTGAAACTTCCAGAACGGTCAATTCCGAGCGTGGGATCTGGGCCGTGGGTGCCTTTTTGGGGGTGAGGTGGGGTAAACAGGGTTAGTGTAGGACGGCGCTGGGATGGCAGGGGCGATGAGGTAAGATAACAGGAGCAGCACAGTAAGAGTGTGTGAAATATGCATCCCAGCGTCATATTTCGCCGTCCCAATCAATATCTTATTACGCCTGAAATCCCACGCTGGTGATAAGGGCGTTAGGAGTGGCTGCCTTGCTGCAGACAGACTGCATTGATCGAGCACTAAATAAACTCCGTCTCGGCTCGACGGCACAAATTAGGTGTCAGCGCACCGCGGGGCCCGACTTGTTTTATCGGCATCTCCTGCCACCGGCCAAGATTAAAATCGGTGATTTCATCAACTCGTTAGCGGCCATCGGCTGAGTTACGCCTCTGCGTCGTGGCCCTATTGAGCACTTACGTTAGACTTTGGAAGCATTCACAGACGAAGAGTTACATCCGATGACCTCACCGTGTTACCTCATACCTTAAAAAAGAAACGCTATATCCTGACGGCACTAAAGTTCTTACTTTTCGGCCGCCTTTGCAGTTTGCATTGTTTTCCATCCTTTATTTCACTGCCGTTCGTAAGTTACCGGGACACATGGCCTCTCTGTGGAATAACTCACCAATACACTCGCACTTTCTCAACACCATTAAGTGACAAAAAATAATTAATAAAAGTTAAAGATTCTTATATGCATAGCGTTTCACTATGACCTCATACTTCCAAGTAGAATTTAGAGCTGGAATATAAGGACAGATTTACAGACTCAGTGGGGTGTGTATTGCTTAGGGTTTTTTTTTTTTACAAATGCAGCCGCGTTGAACACACACTTGAAGTGTTAGAACTTGACAACATTTTACATGTTAAAATATTTTATTGAAAATGCCCAACATGTTTAGTTAGTCACTGCAGATGTCAGTCATGGAAATGTGGCATAGAGGACATCATATAAAACACAATGCATAAAATGTTAAAATCTTAAAAGAGCGGCCTTCTCTTCTCTCACAATACCGAATTCTGCTCAACACAGACTAAGCCTCTTTCGAAAATTTCTGGGAAAATCGGGTTGGATTTGACATGCCATACACACACGTTTCAAGAACTTGTTATGTTAAGACTAGTTTCATTGAGCATGAGAAGAAAGAAAAATAACCATTTTATTAAAAGTTTAAAACCAACCCTTCAAATTGTTTTAACAGTTTTTGATATTAAAATTACATAATATTTTAACGGGGGGGGGGGGGGGGGGCGGGGGAGGGTACAATTACTGTTGGAATCTGCACACAAGAATTCGTAATATATTGTATATATATACTTTAGAATTACTTTTGATCTAGGTGCTTCTTATAGAACAAAAAATGAATACGCTGTATATATGTACATAACATGATAATACTGCATCATGCAGGATAAATGTTTGCATATAAAATTAGTACTGTGTTAATATAAAACATTGGTGTTAAAAAAAAATACAATATAGGCTTACAAACATGTGCTTTGTATGAGGCTCTATTATCACTCATAACAGGGATAGAGTAAAATGATGAGTTTTTAAAGAGCTCTTGAAAGACTCTGGAAAGATGTTTTTTTTGTCTTGGCATAACCATGTGAACAATTAATGTCAAACAGGTTTGGTCTCTGAAAATAATCTCCAATTGGCACATTTAATACTGCGGTTATGGCCACACGGCTCATCACTTTAAGTCACAAGTGTGATGCAATAATAATAAAATGTTGCTGATTATGGTCCAAAAACTACTTAAAGATTGCTCGACTGGTTACCGACCGACCAGGTTTCAGGCATTGTTCGCAAGCTACACGATAGCCTTAAAATGTGCGGGAATTCCTGTTTGTAATCTTAATTATGGTAGATAACTTCCAACCAAGTGCAGCACAAGGGCTGTGTGAGTGGATAGTGAACAACACACGCGTCACGTCGTTTAGGGCAAGGTTTTCCACAGCTGCGTAAAGGTGCTCTCACTCGGCACACGTATGGCACATGCCTCAATGAGTACATAGAAACTGATCACTTGATGCACACAGTGGAAGGCATGTATACAAATTTACCACACCACATCAGCAAAAAATTACCCACATATCTACACGTGAGTTCTATTTTCAAAGATTAAAAAAAAAATCCACTTAAATTCCAATGTCATGAATACTTAAAATTGTTACCCCTCTTCGCAAAAGCACCATGGGAATGTATCGGCCTACCTTTTATAACAAGCACAACAGCCTAACGAAACCTTCTATATATGCAACACACGACACTTCTCATCTCGCGGGGAGTATTTGGCAGTGAGAAAAGTAGATGAGCTCCATGCAAAAAAAACAACAACCCCTTCGAAGAACAAGCATCGTTTTAATTTAAAGCAACGCGTGCGCCGCTGTGCGAGGGGGGGGCGCATATCTAGGTGGATGTGGCGACTCCCTGCTTGTACACCGCGTGGTACGCGTTCCGCAGCAGCACGTAAGGGAAGCAGGACTCCAGCAGATCCATGGTGAGGAACGGAGACTCCTGCACGATCTGCAGTGCAAGAGGCCACCCCGTTAGAATGCGACTCGTCTCAGGGCCACGCCGACGCAACAATAGGTCTGTTTATTTCAAGGTAATCAAAGACTAAGTGGCCATATAGATACAAGCACAAACATGTATTTAAAACTAAGCAACACCATGTGAATCGTTTTTTTTTTACAAGTGCCTCCAGGTTTAAATGGCAATAAAGTTGCGTCTCATTTCCACTGACATCCCTCAGTAAGCGTTGGAAAATCCATCGCTCGTTTTTAATGCTACATTAACTCACCGTATACCTCCGATTGGTGGTGACATAACCATTGCACAAGTATCTGCTTTACTGTCTTAAGTGTGACTTTTTAAGAACATCTGTGATGAGGGCTAATAGATTAAAGTGGGATAAGCATACATCATAATTCTTGATGGAAAACCTCAAATTCACTCACCTTCCCCCTTTTTATAGCTAATATCGTCAAAATAAAACAAAACTACATTTTTATTTCATAGCTGTTTTATTATTCCACCATGTGTGAATATAAAACTAGTACTGCTTACTGGGAAGCCACCAGTTGTCGTGGATACATTTCCGCCGACGATTAGAATCAGGAATATCCACCATTAGCCACCAATTAAGTTGAATGCTACCCCCACTGCTCGTTGGAGCAGAGAGATTATTTCATTGATAATGAAATAACGCTTTCATACAAAAACATTCACTCATCTCTCCACCATCTGATATTTTCTCGTGAAAGGCAGGCCCTACCATGTCTAACAGCAGGTACACGGACTCCCTGTTCCGTGTCGTCAACTTGTCAGTCTCCTGGCCAATCTTCAGCAGGCTGGACGATGCAAGCTACGGAAAAAAATACAGCTCAAGAATACAGTTCAAGTATAGAGTAAATACAACACCAACCGCTTTTAGCCACTAAGGGATGGCGATATCACCATCGTGATTGTGCCAGGGTGGATGCACTTGGAGTTCATTAATGAGTGTTTGGCACCTTGCAGGAAAACGGAGTAACTAGAATGAACACACAAGGAGATTCAATGATCAAAGCTGTCCTGCCATCTCATGGAAAACTCATGATTCCCAGGCTATGTCCCATCCAAAAAACGAACTAGGCTCAAGCCTGCTTAGCTTCTGAGAAATCAGGGGACATTCATGGTAATTTGGTCACAGGTGTATAGTATATCTCATTTAATCCTAAATAAACAATGCTTTGCACGTTTTTCCTTCTCTACCCAATCATACAAAAGCTGTTTCAGCTTGCGGTAACAGAATACGCAGACTGCTTGACACAGCCAAAGTGGTTTCCTGGTGTTTACAGCCCTGAGCCAGTGATATAAATTCCACATTCCCATAGTGGGAGTGATGGTACTAATTTTTTCAACCCCGCAAGGTTAAAGGGCTGAGTTGATTAGTCACCTAATCAGGATTCGAACTCGTGAACTCACGATCATTGCAACGCGCAGCCAAATACTCATTGAAATATGCCCAGTTTTTTTTACATTTGTGAATTTGTTTTGAGATTAAAACTGGATAAACCAAACATGGGTAGCATAGGCAGGTCGACTTTTAGTCTGACGAATGTTCGTTTAATGGGACGAAGGGGCACAAAAGAGAGGACATGGTCAAGGCTGATAAGACTAGAGGCAATGTGTTGACTGAAAGGCTAAGCATGATGTATTATGCACCCAACAAAATGATGCTGCCACTCACACAGTTAGGAGGGAAACTTCCATCAGGATTCAAGTCATCCCTGAGTAAACTGGTAAACGGTTAAACAGTTAACTACCATTTTATGTAAACTCCTCCACCAAATTTTGGCCTTTGTGTATTGTATCAATGATTATATTATACAATGCAAGTGCATTTGTTCATGCTATTTAGATTACTTGCTGGATTCATTATTAATTTGTTGAGGGGGGTTCATCTCATAATCTGTATTGATCCTGGAGAAATCCGATGAGCTATGAAGCTTCTCTTCACATATCAAGCAAACAAGATGGTTGTGTGATTCATTCTAAATTATTTTGAAGTGAGGAGGCTGGGTGGCTGAAGAGACTAAAGCCCTAACAGGGCCAGAAATCATGCGATCTTAAATTAATTGGAGAAACAACAACAACAACGTTTCACGTGAGCAAATGTGGAACTTGTGAGAGGTGTGTTGAGGTTACAATGAAGAACACTCCTCAGACTTCCGTGAGAGAGCAACCTTCACCTCGTCACATCTGCGAATGGCTCAGTGGTGTGACAGGGGCAGGTGAACGCTCACCGCCAGAAATTCTTTGAGTCGCTCCTCCACGCTGCCCTTGTGAATAGTGAATAGTGCGGCAGCCAGCTGATTGATAGCCGTAGCCAGGCAGTGGATGTTGTTTAAGTGACCTGTAGGAAGGAGGCAGGATTGTGATGGGGCAGAAAGACACGCAAATAAATGTATAAGAATACAAGACAAGCGCTCTTCATCAGGCCGAGAGACAAGAGGGACCCCCCGCTTGTGTTGCGATCGAAACGTCGTGGGTTTTTTTGCTTTTATTATTTTCAATTTATTTTTTATTTTATTTTACTATTTTTATTGTGGGTTTTTTGCTTTTACTACTTTCAAATGTTTATTTTATTTTAAAAACATATTTGTTATTTTTATTTTTTATTAATATTTTTGGATTTTTAGTTTTCTATTTAAGTGACTTTACCGAAAGCACCAAGAATATGAAGTCACGAAAGTTTTAAGTCAAAATGTAACTGCCTCTATGGGGAGGGATTCCACATGAAGATGTTAAGATGTTAAAACACAAAACAGAAACATTTTGCAATGAATCATGTCTGCATTAACCACACATACTTGTGATGAACATGCAAACAAAAAAAATGCTCTGGTAATATATGTAATTATATAAAAGGAATATATTATACATCTTCTTGATTTCACTGTGGGTCACTTTTATTCCACTTATATTTTCATCTGTAAAATGTGCATGTGCCTTTATTTGAGCAACTCACAGATGACTAAAATGGAAAATCCGGCAAATATATTGATAGGCACCATAATAGTTGTCACTGGGTTATAAGACAATGGCATTGATTAACTTTGGGCCTACGGTGCCAATACTATTTGTGTTAACCTACGTCACAAACTTCAATAATGTTCTTTGTACCGTTGGCATTCATATTTTACATTAATCAGGATATTCATATTTATTCTTCGTTGGCGACAAGGTTTAGGTTATATCAGACTCTTTTCATCTTGGGTAGGTGTTGCTGGCTACCTGACTGTGCGTGCTTATACACTCACGTGGAAATCGTATTATAATTATGATACTAGCACCGCTGTGACCCATATCTCCTCCCACAAAGTGAGCAAACTGGCTCGGGATAATTTCAAGTGACCGTGCCACAAAATGTCTGCACATCAGGGGAAACAAAATGCAGCAGAGTTATATGTTTTTATTGTTTGGCTGGATGCTCCTTGGCTAATTGGTAGCAGCCCATGTATTAGGCCGTGTGGCTTGCTCAACCCGAAGGCTCACAGGAATTCATCAAGACAGAGGTCAGCGAAGAATCGAGGACAAACATCCTACTGTTGAGGAAGGCAACTAAATAAGACAAGATAATTAACAGCACACGCATATGTACTTTTGAAACAATGAAAAAAGAGTTCTGAAACTGGCAAGAGATTTGGAAGAATTTGTTGGGCATCCTTACAGGCCAAAATCTTTCAGATTTCACAACTGGCCCCATCTCAATGTCCACACATGCACACAGCACAGAGCTTAACAGCTGCAACACTCCAAGTCTGGCATGGCTGACAAAAGCCATTCAAATTCTTGAACGTATCCCTATGATACAATTTTGTTGTTGTTTCATTATTAAAAAAGATGTTAACATAAATGTTGAAGAAGAGATAAATGGGCTGCTACACAGTAGCAAAAAGAAACGCAAAATATACCAGGCAACAGAATTAAAATAACATACAACAACTTTACAAATAAATATGGCTGGTGGGCCTTTCTCCATTGAATGTGTCCACAAACTGAGTCCGTGTAAAAGAAATGCAGTGAACTCTTAGGGGGAGTTACCTTCCAACCATGGGCTGTACTGGGACGTTTGGACCCCAGCGAGTGCTGGCAGAGATACCGCCACAAAGACCATGAGGAGGCAAGCGATCTTATAATCGTCCTCTGGAGACGTTTCTGTCAACAACAAAAACAATTTATGGTCCGTAACAATGTGGAAGGAAATTTCTATGAGGTCAAAACACCATTTTTAATAAGACATTTCTGAAAATACTTTATATATACACACAAACTCCCACACAAAATAATAATAATAAAAAGTACGCATGCTGTTGCTAACCAAACCTTTTCTTTACAACAACAAAAACCCAGCAGCTCAGCAAGTACAGGGGAGGAGATCAAAATGATTCGAAACAAAATAGTGACTGAAAGAAAACTACACAATCTTACATCAGGATTATTTTCAATTCCCATTTTTGTTCATGAAAATGGAAATGTAGTTACAAGTGACATGACAATGACACGAAAGATATTTTCACGGTTTTTGTGAGCAATGCATCTTTAATAATTGAGGTATATTGTATCGTTTTTTTCCGTATTGTACCATTCTGTATACTTTTTAATTCTTACGAGTATTTCTCCCCGCATTTGAAAGTTTCATAACTGCCCTCCCTGAGAGCCCCTTCCCCTACCCCCCCAACCGCTTTGCTTGATAACACTTGATTTTTTCAGGGACGGAAAGTGAGACAGAGAAACACATGGATTAGAGAACACACACATTAATGACCGCACCTCAATTAGCACAGTTAACTATGTACAGTGCGAAAGACATTCAACAATCAATATTCAAACTATCAAGAAAATTAAGTGGACTTGGGCAGTAAATGTCGCTAGAAGGGACGATAGTCGAAGGTCAAGGATAATGATGGCGTGGCAGCGAGGCAATGGAACGTGTCCGAGAGGACATCTCCTGAGGAAATGGAGCAATTAAATCAGCGTGTGCAAATGCTCGGTGGATTATTACATTACAAAATTGTGAGAGATGTTGGGAGCTTGGGAAGGCATTCATCCAGCAGTGGATTGACCATGGCTAATGATTCCTGGGCATCGTGTGGTTGAAAGGTCACATGACGTGCAGTGAGATCAGCATCACACCTCATCACATTTGTCTTCTCCTGTATAGTAACAAGTCCGCAAAAAAATGATTGCCAATCCAGGGGGTGGCCTTTGCTAGCCACACATAACCAGCTTCCTACTGAAGTTCTTCCACAGGAATTCAAACTTAGACCGCTGGGAATGGAACCAATTTTCCTCTATCCATCCTTCCCCGCAACGTGCGCAGACACACGCGGGATTATTTGTATGTGCATTTCATGCTTTTGGATTATTAGAAAGGTTGAAATCATTTTCTAATTAAGGAATTACTGCTAATTCAAAACATGTGCACCACAGTGCCACTCTTAGGCTGGCTGTAGTAGGGCCCTTCCAATTTGCTCGGGGTGTGATGCAGAGACCGTGAGCCATGGTACATGTTTTACAAAATATGTAATCGGCAGAGCTCTTCGGCATGTATGCATGGACATGTTTAAAAAAAAAATACATTTGAGTTATTTAAATATTGTAATGCATCATAAAAGTGTTCAACATGCAAATACCAGATGTATTTGTATTCTTCAATGAGAACAGTTTTGTTGTATTTCTAAGTTATGATGTCAATCCACTGCTAAAGGCCTCCCCCCCCCCTATGCCAAGTCAGTCATAGGGGTTGTTTGACCATACTTATCCACGCCAGTCAGCGTGGGATGGTGGTTGATGAAGTGGGAGTCGTGGGGGGGGGGGCAGGACCGGTTCAGATTTCACTCGCCACTCAAGTCATGAGGTTCATAGCTTAGGAGTGAGTGGTGGGATGAGTGGTGAGGAGAGTGGTGAGTGGTGGGTTGATTGGTGGGGGGTGAGTGGTGAGTGAGTGTTGAGTGAGTGGTGAGGTGAGTGGTGAGTGACGAGGTGACAGGGAACTTTGCATTACTGCTGAGACCTCACATATGTATGTAAATGTATGAATTATACAAGTATGCTAGCAAGACTGTGGCTTTGCATGATTGCATTTTATATCTGAACATGTGCCACCCATGAAGAGAGGGTACCGAATTGTGTTGTATATTAAAATCAATGTGCCATGTTGAACATATTACAGGTGCTCATTATTCCTTTAAAGCACTTGTACTAGTCGTCTTGTGTGAGTACCTGACATGTTAACATCATCCGTGATCTATTCACTTCTGGATGAAGGCCTTTCCAATCCAAGTCATCGCCATGCCTCTCGTTCTCGTAATCACATTGAACGCTGGTCTCTGGGTTCAAAATTCAGTGCACTGCTGCTGCTATTTCAACAATCAGAGAGATTAAGTAACAAATAATGGAAATAATTGTGTATAGTTTTTTTTTGTTCACGAAAGAACAAAAAAGTAAAGAGAAATAAGAGCTTCACATTTTCTTGAGAAGATGATCAAATAAATCTCCAAGGAAATAAAACTACCACAGTTTCACACAATTCACACATGCACTTATTCATACACCACGGCATATTAAATTCATAGAACACAACATTTTTCGTTTTTTTACCAAATATGTCCCACGCAATAATTTACAAACTATAATTATCACGACTCATAATGCTGGATGTAAGCAAGCTGTGGGGTGGATATGTATGTACCTTCGTATAACAATTTGTAATAAGATTGTAGTAATGAATATGATGAGTTAAATATTTTAAAAAGCATATACATGTATGTTATCTACTCGTTGTATGCCGTTACGGTAGTCAAAAACAATGGTAAATAACTGTTGAAGGGACACAAATGGAAAGGACAAACAGTCCATCTAGGGCAGCTATCAGAGAAATAAAATCAAGTGCAGGATAGAGTGCTTTGAGAATATTATATCTGATACTGAAAAGCAACAGATGAATATGCCGTAACAACAGTTTGCGGTTCTGCCATGGCATACGGATTGGAAGCATAAATTCTGACAAAGTACATGAAACAAAAGCTAAAAAATATGCAAAGCATGCTGGAGAGATGAATGCTGGGAATTGCACTAAGATACAGAAACACATGAACCAGAGAACATAAGCAAATGGAGACTATGGCGACTATTAATAAAACAAAGTGATTGTGGACAGGACACATCACTGAAATGAATGGTAAGCCAATAGATGCTGTCGGTGGAGGAAAGGCAGCCAAAGGGAGGCCATCTGACGCAAAGATGCGGCGATGAGATGAGGTCACAAAAGCAAGAGTGGGCTGAATTGTGGCATTTAAAAACGAAACTATTTTTATTTGACCAGGTAAGGCCCACTGACCTATATATATATCTCTTTTTAGAAGCGGCTTGGCCACAAATGATAGCTCAACGAAGTGACTTATCGTGTGGAAACTGATAGCAGCAAAATACTCAAAATGCATGTTTCTAAATGTGAAGGGAAAAACCGGAGGATCTGGAGAAAAATCCATGCGCCACGGGGAGACCATGCAAACTCCAGGATCGGGATTGAACCCACGACCCCCTGTATACCAGATGAGTTAGTTAACATCTCACCACCGTGGCACCCATGAAGCATGAAATGTCATGAGGCCTTCAGCAATGAGCTGAATGCCTCATAATAGGTAATCGAAAGGTTTGGGATATTCGCCAATTAAGGTCCAAACACTCAAGATTAGTTGTCATTTTCCAAATACAGGACAGTAATAATGTATTTGGTCAATGCTCAATGCATGATGTATGTAATGCATTAAAAGCCTTATAAAAGCACATAAAACATATAATGTGAATAGGTACAAATCATGACGCTCTAAATATGTTTAATCACATTGGGGATGTACGACCACTCCGATTAAAACGTTTAAAATGTTTGTTTTGTCAGACATGTGTCTTCTAAAAGATTGGCTTCACGGGAAGAAAAGCAAAGCTATAAAATAGTTTTCACAACTGTTCACAGTGGTTTGCAGCACTTGGGAATCAGTCTACGTACTCTGCTGACAAACCTCTAATGATGTGTGGATTCTGCAGACACGCTCAAGGAAAGTAATTATCACCGAGCTCTGGGATTCCTCCACACACTTTTGGATGCTCCAACCAGCAAACCTCTAGGGTGCTCATTTGTTATCTTCACGTTTATTTATTGCTCTGGACACCGCAAGCAGACCGTATTTCTTTACGTATTCCTATTTCTCACTTTTTGCCAGGATTGCTGCATCTGTCCGTGAACTTTTTCCCGCAGATTTATTATCCAGTTTTCCCCGGTGACCTTGTCAGACACGGCGTGTTCCAAAGCCAGCGTTAGAAAAATCTCATCCCAATTGGAACACCTTAATTTCCTGTTGTCGTCAGATGCTGAAAGATTTGTGTGAGAGACCTCGTATATGTGGCTCAAAATTTAATGGATAAAGAAAAGAAAAGTACAATTTTTAAATGAAAAGTACAACTTTTTTCACGAGACATTAGCGTCGTTACTAAATGTGACGAATATGTACAAGTATTCATTAAATTGCTTACGAGGTTACACATTTCAAGTTGCTGCTTTTAAACCTGTGGCACGCAAGCTGGAATTGACACAGTCGACTCTTTGACTCTCTCGTGTGCGAAACACACGGTTTTTTAAAAGGAGTTTATTTTTGCTTTGGTGCTAACTTGGACACAACCATTCCTCCCTTTCCCCGTTACACTTTTGCATTTGTGATCTCAAAACAGACTTCCAGGAGACGCAGGCCACCATGGTCAAAGCATCGTGGCATTTTAAGAACTCAATTTTAAGAACTTAAATCAAATTGGCAGTTGATAAATGTTCTGGTTACCAAAGAGAACATTGCTTAATTTAACACGTAGGCTTTCGCGACCAATATTATTCATAATAAACGTTTTTGGGTTATATCGCGTTATTTATAAATGTGTCGTAACCCTCCCCCACCCGACACGGTCAATCAGAAAAAAAGTGTCACGTTTACACAAAGACAAATAGTTCACTACTTTAGCCCACCGGTGTGTTGAAGAATTCTGGCGAATTGCCCGATGATGCTGGATGTAATTACCAGCGAAACGTCGTACTCAAAAAACTGTAAATGTTGTGGATTCACTCTTCAACACACCGGTGGGCTAAAGTAGTGAAATATTTGTCTTTT